AGTTGAAAATCTACTGGAACAGGCGCAGGGCAGCTTTTCATCGAAACGTATGGGTAAACAGAACAAGGGGTTGCAAAACACTGCAGCCCTGTCGCTTCCCTCCATCTGTTCGAGCGTTGCGTTGCTCGCGCGTTGGTTGGAAATTCATGCACGCAGTTGAATACCCGGGATATATGCAACGCGTGGTGACACAACACGTGCAGATTGGATCGCGTGTTGTTCTCTCGTCCATTCGTGAACGCAATCGTGAGCCACGCGAGACCATGTTTATCATTAACTCGTGCAGAATTATTCCTTTGTGAGATTAACGACGAAATACGACGGTTCCCGACTTACCCTCCTTTCACGGCCTATCGCTAGCATGATAAACCAAGAAAAATCGTCATTGTCGCCACTCTGGGAACCGGGATAAATTTTCAGGGACTTTTTAATAATAAAAAGACTTCCAAGAGAAACTCAGCTTCTTTTTAAAGTGAAAATGTAAATGCTCGAGAAATTGCAGGAAAGTTTAGTGTACTATTATGGACGAGAAAATTGTGCGAGGTATGATTTAAATTATTTCGAAAGGTGGCGTGATATGTGTTATATTATGTAGATTGAAATGCAGAAACGCTAGTTGCAGTGGGTAATTGTGTGAATTTTGTAATATTAAAATTGTCCTCGTTCATCTTTCGAACAAAATGATCTGAGATCTTTGTTCTACGTTATTATACTCGTGCATCGAAATTTGAAATTCTGGATAGAGGGTCTCTATATTATTTACCGTACGAAAAAATTCCCTAAACAATGGAAGGAAGAGAAAAATATATTTCCAAATCATTGCAACTTTTGCAACAGTCCAAGTGTACAGGTATCCATCAAATTGTTAATTCTTCAGGCTATTCGGTCTCAGTTCTCGATTTAAAAAATCCCAAATTCAGTGCACGAAGCAATTCCGTGGAAACAAAAAACAGCAGAAAAAAAAAGAGAGAACACTCATTTCCAAGCTACCATAACTTCTAAATCAAATAATCAAGCATGAATCGAGCTGTTCGTTCCCCTTTTCGTTTCCCTTTTCTATTATATTTTCATCCTCGATTAAAAAGGCCCTAGAATCCATTTACCGCGCGAAAAAGACGATTCCGTCAAATTCAAAGGCGAAATGGCTTTTCAAAGACTTTTTTTCACTCTTTTTGAAGTTCAAGTCACCGCGACTTTTTACGA